AAACCCTGAACCCTAAACCCTACACCCTAAACCCTAAACCCTAAACCCTACACCCTAAACCCTATACCCTACACCCTACACCCTAAACCCTAAACCCTAAACCCTAAACCCTAAACCCTAAACCCTAGCAGCTCACTTCGGTTCATTGTCCAGGCTCCCATCCGCCCTCGGGGCCCTCGTCTTCCTGGTCCTCGTCCGGGTCGTCGGGCTCGTCGTTCTGGCTGTTCCTCTAAGAAGCTCGGGTTTAGGGCTCAGGGTTTGGTTTAGGGTTTAGGGTTTAGGGTTTAGGGTTTAGGGTTTGGGGTTTCGGGTTTAGGGTTTAGGGTTCAGGGTTTAGGGTTTTGGGTTTTAGGCTTAGGAGCTCAGGGGTCACGAAACCATGTGGGATGAAACGAAAGAACTTGGGTGTGCTCAAGGGCTGTCTTTGTGTCACTACGACAGTCAGCTGTCCTTGTCAGCTCCAAGACATTCTGCGCGGTGGTGCCTTAGGCTTAGAGCCCTGGGTGCATTTGTTGCTTGGCTGAGGGGTTGAGGGACTGGTTGCGGCTTCTGAGCCTTTTCAGAAGGTGAATGATCGTTGCAGCCATGGCACAGGTCAATGTGCCAGTCGGATCCCGGAAATAAAACCTTGCGCACGAGACAGCGCGTGCAGACTGGCTTCTGGGTGAAGGGTATATGCGACAACACGATGCATTCATCTGCCGGTACTTGCAGCGCATCTTTGCAATTTCATTCACACACATGCCCAGGTTTGGGTGCAGACTTGTGGCATCTCCACTGGAGACAGCACTTTCGATGGATCCCTGATGAGGTCCGCTATGATCTGGAGGCTGCCGCTGTCAGGCTGGAAGGAAGAGATCCTGCAGCAGCACCGGCTGGCAGTGGGAAGGATAGCAAGCTGATTCCTGCCCGAGGGAAACCTTGCCGGCTCGACTCTTGATACCGCGTGAAACCCTAAACCCCTAAACCCTAAACCCTAAACCCTAAACCCTAAACCTCAAACCCCAAACCCCCAAACACCGAAGAGCGAACCGCGAACTTGAGAGCCCTGAAGCGGCTGCTCCGCAAAGCTCCTGGGCTGGTTCACCAGACCGTCCGTGCTGGCCGGTTGGCACTGAAAGCTTCTCAATGCCTTCCCAAGGGTTTAAGGTTTAGGGTTTAGGGTTTAGGGTTTAGGGTTTTGGAAACTTCAAAAACTTGACGCAGGACACCTGGGCAACTCACTCCACACAACTCGAGCAAAAAACAGACAAAGTATGCCTACCACAAATCGGTTGGGAGCCATCTGATAATCCTTCTGAATAACATGGATTTCGTGATCAGGCTTTCAAGAAAGAAACGCCCAGGCCTCCCATGCGGCGGGTCTGCCGCCACTTCCTCACTGACAGCAATATTAAGAATAAGAATGATAATAACTATCATAACTATGGCAACAATGAAGATAATAACAAAGATGCTAATGATCATAGTCGTGGTACTAGTAGTAGTAGCAGTAGTAGTAGCAGTAGTAGTAGTAGCAGTAGTAGTAGTAGTAGTAGTAGTAGTAGTAGTAGTATTAAGCATGGCGTGAGCTGGACAAGACTGAAGTCATGAAACAAGCTCTGTCCGACAGGAGAGAGCAAATAAGAACCGCATACAATGACGATAGAAAAACGAGTAACAATAGTAATCATTGGGCATAATCGGAGCAATAGATGAACAAGGGGTGGCATTGCTCGTGGCGTTCAACGGTTCGTATTTAAGGTTTCTTACCACCTCGGCATATGTCCATCTCCAGTGCCTGTTCACCTGACGTACTCTCCACCACTTCCCTTCAGTCCCTCGCTTCTTCCCACGACATCGCTCTCCAAAGGTCAGTTTGGTCCTGATATCTCATTTCCTCTTTGTGCCTTCCTTTGCTTCCCTCTGCTCGTATCTCCGTACCCTATCTTTTCTCGTGCTCAAGTCTTCCACCCACTTGCTATCCCACCACCCACTTGTGATCTCGTATATAGTACTTACAGATCTGAAAGGAGCAAGAACCCAGCACGGCGAAGTCAAGCCTAGTAACGACTAGTGTGCAGGGGAAAATGCACCCTAAACTACAAGCCTGCAAGGGATCCGAAGTCTGAGTTCCGGCCATGCAGGACATCTAACAAAGAAGCTCAAAGCTGGCAAAAATAGCACGTGTTCTGAATGATAGGCTCAATAAGGTTCAGGGTTTAGGGTTTAGGGTTTAGGTCAATGCAGGCGCTATCAACGACCCACCCGAACGACCAGTGAAGGTCTGGCTTGAGGACCATGAGCTACGGAGGCTTCGGATGGTGGGGCTTCGGAAGCGAACTTTCAAAGGTTTAGAGTTTAGGGTTTAGGGTTTAGGGACTCTAGGGACGATTCAGTTCAAGCGGCTTCTGCACTTGACCTGCCCCGTTGAGACATCGCCTGCGCAGAGCGAGAGCTTTCATGCCAAACCCCTTGCTTGCAAGAGAGCCCCATTGTTACGTGAGCGTTACCATTCTTAGTACGGTTACTCTTATGACGAATTTTCATGTAACTACTATAATCTCATTACTACTATTACTAGTGTTACTGTTTACTTTTCGTTATTTCTTTACTTGTCTTGCTATTACTAACATTTTTTGATATTAAGCTCAAACAGTGGACAGCATCCCGGCGTCCCTGATCCAAAAGACTACCTCTTTGGCGGCTGCTCAAATGGTGAACTAGTGCGCTGCAACACTTACCAGTAAAAAAATACCAACAGTGATAACAACCATTTTGATAATAGATAGCACAATGCTAGACATGATAACCACATAATGATACACAATCAGAAGACTAGTAAGACTCGAAAATGATAGTAGTAACACCGTGCCTCGTGTGGCGCAGAGGGCTCCACACTTCTTTCCCTTTCGGGTGAAAAGGTCACATTCCGATCTCCTTGCGTGGAGCAGGATTTCTACAGAACTTGTACTGAACTTGTGAATCTATGGGCTTCAACATCGAGCTCAGAAATATACGGACCTTGATGGTTAGAATAGGGTTTTGGGGCCCATTATAATATATACGTAATTATAATAAGGAACCCCCAAAGTAGTATTGGTATTTATCTAGGCCCCTATATTCGATGGATGACACGGTGAGGTCGAAGAATGGGGGTGTCTATCTTGTCTGGCAGTGTCAGCCATGACCTTTTCAATCTGGCATCGCAGCTGCCCACATCCAGGTGCACATGGCACACGGATATGCCATCACTGCGCAAGTGATACCACAGCACGAGTATCCATACTTGAGGTCACTGTGCACGCCAAGGTCGCGTGAGTGCACTGCACACCCATGTATTTCTTGGTGGCTTGGTTCTGCTGACCCCCAGTGCAGGCTCTACGGTCGGCAACAGTCTGAAAGATGCTGCAACAAACCAACATAGGACTATAGTAAGAAATTATCATGTTATTACATTGTTCTGTCAAGATTATGATATTATTGCCATGTTGTACTAATAAAAATTGCAGAAGATGGGTGCAAGCGTCCCGCCCGACCCCATGCTCCACTGGTGGGCTTGGGGTTGGTTGGGGGTGGGCATATCGTGTCCGCATGCGTTACTTCCTTAGGTTATGACGCCTGTGCGCAGCAAGCTGTTTCGAGGGCTTGGCCAGACCCGGTGCTGGAGGGGGGCTGCAACGCCGGTTGTGAGGATTGACCGTAGTGGAAGATTACGAGCACCCTGGCCTGAGGAAGATCAGGTAGCCGTACACTTGTCAGTGTGAGAAGCTAGTGGAAGGCAGAGGTCGCCTCCAAACATGTGACTGCGTACGCACGGGAGTGGGCAGATCATGGCAGATCCCTGGCGCAGCACGGTGATGCTGGAAGCCTGGGTTACGCCAGGTGGAAGGCAGATCTTTGGCCGGGTTTGCGTAGCCGGCCCACTGCCGGGGGCCTCCACCCCCGTGGGGACTGGACTTGCATCTGCTAAGTTGAGGGGGGCCCGGCATCCTGACGGAATGCCTGTCGAGGGGGATGCCGAAGATGAAGTGCACAGCCCGTAGGCCGTAGTAGGGTGCACGCGTCCCGCAAGATCTTCTGGCGCGCATTGGGGGCGGGTTTTAGGGGTGGGCATATCGTGTCCTCATGCTTTACTTCCTTGAAAATTATACCATTGTATCAGTATATATGATTGTACTATGACCAGACAGAGGCAGCTCCAGCTCCAGATTTGCCCGGCCGCACCAGGCGCTGGCAGGTAAAAACAAGACAGAAGCCAGACACCCCTGACAGCCCCTGACTCTCAGGGCATCGCAGCGGTCCGTTCGCATGATATGACTGGGCAGAAAGGCTCATGACTTTGCACACACCTCCATTTGGGGGGTTCACAAGCCGGATTGGCTTTGCAGTTCCAGGCAATGCAAAATTCAGGGCGTAAAACGATGGCAAACACACGCAACATGCGGAATGTAGCTCTTCGTGTGGCAGCTTTTCTGCTGAGGCTCCCGTCTGGAATTATGCCGGATAGCTGCAGACCTCGGATGGCAACAGCCATGTGAAACATTGAGCATCCTCGGGTCACTCGAAATGCTTGTGAGCATGAAAGCATGAGAGCAGGGAAGTACTCCGCACAACCTACTGCTCGCTGCAGCAAAGGCACTCTGCCCATCCTTATCAACATTCACCTGAGATGTGGCCGTCAGATTTCCCGCTTCAAGCCTTCGGGTTTAGGGTTTAGGGTTCCTTTCAGGAGGTGATGGTCAAGCTTCCCAACCCTCTGAAGATGAACTCAATTACGCCTCCACGCAGGCAGTTTTGTCAAACACTTAGCCCGTCCTGCACCCAAAGCTTTCCCCTGCAAGCTTGATCATTTCCACGTTCTTCGGCTTTGATTTGAAGGTCAGAAGCTGGTGGAAGCTAGAACAACACCTCTGCTGCCATGTCTCCTGTGACAGGCCAGATAAGCAGACCTGCGCAGACATAAATTCACTGAAGCACTGCAAGTGAGCTTTCTTTCTCTGGAATGATGTCGAACATGTGTCTCGGAGACTTTGGAGCTAGCCTTCACAAGCTGCTTTCCAACCCTAAACCCTAAACCCTAAACCTTACCTTAAAGAAATCTGTTGCGAAGAATGCCTTTAGAGCTTGCTTTCCGCACGTTTCTCGAAACCTTGCGGTCTACCTCGAGGCCTGCCTGACTTGAGCTTTAGGGTCTAGGGTTTAGGGTTTAGGGTTTAGGATTTAGGGTTTGGGGTTTAGGGGCATCCTTGATGCCTGCACTTAAGGGGCTCGTCCTAAGCGCGCCTTCTCCGCAGGTCGGCACTTCAATGTGATGGACCATGTACCATCCTCAGGGCTCCCAAATCAAGTCTCCAAAACCCTCAACCCCAAAAGCCCTAAAGCCCCAAACCCTAGACCCCCAAAACCCCTAAAACCCCTAAATCCCCTAAACCCCTAAACCCCTAAACCCCTAAAACCCCTAAAACCCCTAAACCCCTAAACCCCTAAACGCCTAAACGCCTAAGCCCAAAACCCCCAAACCCCTAAAGACCCGTAAAGACCCCCAAAACCCCCAAAGCCCTAAAGACCCCGCGTTGCCTCACACTGAACCTCTCCCAAAGGTCTCCGACTGTTCTTGCACACAATGGGGCAAAGGAAGCCGTCGGGGGCGCTGGAGCCTTGGAAGCTACCAATGATCGCTGACAGTTTAGGGTTTAGAGTTTAGGGTCTAGGGTTTAGCGTTTAGGGTTTAGGGTCTAGGATTTAGGGTTTGAAGGGTTTAGGGTTTGAAGCGCTTCGCAACGTGCGGCTCATTTTTGCGCTTGCTGCTCGAGATGTGGGCCCTTCGCCCCCGTTTGCCCCGCATCACCACAGGTTTCCTTGTTGGGGTTTAGGGTTTAGG